CCCAAGTTGCAGGCAACTTCTGGGCGGACATCTTTGCCAAGCTGGGGGCCACGCTCCAGCCTGGCGGTGTGCAATCTACCGCGCGCCAACCGCACCCGCCACACGCCGACCGCACCCGCCGCACGCCGACCGCATCCGCATTCACACCGACCGCAAGCTGTCGGAGGTCTCGACGAGGAACGAGCCCATCCGCTGGCCAGCCAGCCAGCCAGCCAGTTGTGGTCCACAGGATATCCCTGCCCAGACGATCCACGCCCGAGCCTGTGAGTTTGCCCATGCGCGGCGCTATGGGTACCGTGGACTTCGCGTGCTGGGCGGCGGAGCGGGTGTTGCTGCCGTCGATGGGTGATGCCACGCGTCTGCCCAGGGAGCGTGCTGCTCCCGTGCCTTCGGCCAGCGCCGCTGGCATGGGCCAGACACAGCTGCTGGCCAGCAAGCGTGATGTCCGGGAGCAGTGCAGCATCAGGTGCACGACGCGCTGCCGCTCCGCCGCGACGCGGGTGTCGCACCGGAAGGTCGCGGACTATGCGGCCCACCGAGCGTGTGCCACCAGTGTCCGGGCAGGGCCACTTCGTGGAGAAGCCTCGATTCGCGGCCTTCCGTGTGCGATCCAGGAAACCAGCTCTCGCCCAAGTTAGGGGAACGAAGAATGGCATCAGCATAAAAACTTGGAGGTCCGCGCGGATTTCTCGGATCCGCGCGGGACCCCCCTGGCGGTGCTTCCGGCACCGCCCTTGGCGCGCTCCGCGCGCCAGGTAAAGGGGTCCAGCGCCGATCCGAGAAATCCGCGCGGACCTAGGAGTTTTTCTGTTTATGTCATTTTTCGTTCCCCTATCTGTGCGATCCAAGGGAACCAGCTCTCGCCCTAGTTCACGGTCGAGTGTAGATGGGGCCGAGCACGAACCCGAGAGCGCTCTGGAAGGAGCGCGCGGGGATCGGCCCCACCGCAGGCCTGGCCCTCGTCGCGGGCAAGCCTGTGGCATGTACCGAGATCGGTGTGATGCGTATGAACGTGTTCGCTGTACAGAGGGGGCCCGTGCCAAGAAGCACCCTGCTTGCCTCCAGGGTGCGCTGGGTTTCTTGGGTGTCCATGGCTTTGCCATGGAAAGAGTGGCGCTCCCACACCACAGATCCGTGGACGTCCTGGGGCCTCGGGGTAGGTTTCTGGTGGAAGGTCTCTTGCGGACTGGCCTCCGCTGCATCGAGATCGGTGCGACGCGCATGAGCGTGCTCGTTGTGTGCGGCGATTGCCCGGTCGTCGCCACCGCTGCTCCGGAGGACGGCGACGCAGACTCCCTGCCGGGACAGGCTGCCGTCGGGTGAGCTTTTGCTCTGGGCGGCCACTGCCCGGTGCCTTGGACTGCCGTGGTGCAGGGGGGCGCACAACTCGGGGACGGCCAACAGGGGGGGGGATATCATGGTCGGGGCCATGATATCTCCCCAGATTTCATGGCGCCTCTTTTTATTTCATCACGTCCCTGGGCCCCCTCCTGGGCCGCGCACATGCCGCCGGCCATGATTTGTGCCCCCCCCTCTTGGACGCCCCCCTCTTGGCCGCCCCCGAACGACGAGGACCCTTCGGAGCCATGGCGCGTGCGGGCGGAGCTGAAGGGTCTTGACACGTGTCGGTCCCGCATGAATGACACGGTGACGGTCTCACCGGACTGAAGGGCGCGGACGGTTGCGTGTTTTGGCTTTGCCCTGAGCGCGAACGCTCTCGAGCCGAGACTGGAGAGCGAAAGAGAGAGAATGAGAGAGAGAGTGAGAGAGAGAGAGAGAGAGAAAGACGGAGCAGGAGACATAAAGAGAAACCGAGACAGAGAGAGAGAGAGAGGCAAAAACACAGATCGAGGGGGTCACGGTGGCGGTGGTGATGATGATGTTGGTTGTGAGGGTGATGGTATTGGTGATGATAATGAGGAGCATGAGGATGAGGTGGAGGAAGAGGAGGAATAGGTAGTCTAGAGTCTTCGCGTGACCCCACAAACCCATCCGGAAACGATGCCCATTCGAGTTGCCCTGACAGCAGCGCTTTGCACAATGCGTGTGCCTATAGTTGCTTCGGCTCCAGTGCCAGCAAGCTGTGCGCCTGACTGCGGTCGGGTAAACCTAAGAAGCTCTTCCAAAAAGGAAAGACATGGCAGGATGGGCCGACTCCGCAGCGTGCCGCTTCGGCTTCCTGACTATCCGCGACCCGGTCTCCAACGAGCCCGGCCCAGAGGTGTCTGCGGTGCTCTTGCGCACCACGGAGACCCAGTCTCATTTCTGCGTTCCAGCTGGGTCTTTCGACCCAGGCTTCGCCTCCGGCCCAGTGTCCGTCGCAGCTTGCGACGACCAGGGGAAGACGATGGACGGCGTCGAGCTGTTCATCGAGTACGTGAGCGTCATGACCGACAGCGTCTACAGCTTCGGCGATATGGTTTCGGCATTCGCCGCGCCGTTCCAGGACGAGGGTCTCTGGCCCGACCCAGCGTCTGCTCTCCTGGCTATGCCGGAGGGCTTTGCCGAGGAAGTCGCGGACTTCCACTCGGCGGACGCCGGTGGCGCAGGCGAGGGCCTCCTGGGCGGCTGCGTTGGCGGCCCGCCGGCAGCGCCGGGAGAGGTCCGCATGGGTTCAAACCCATTCGCGATCGGATCTACTGGGCCAGCTGCTCCTCCCCTGGCGGGGGGCGGCCGCGGCGCAGGCGCGGCGGGGCGAGGGGCTGGCCGCGGCGCTGGCGCGCGCCCCACCGCTGCGTCGAATGCCCGGGAAATCGCCGACGTCCGCTTCCAGATGGACGCGATGCAGAGCCAGGCCGATTCTGTGCAGCAGACGCTCGCACGCATCGAAACCGCCTTGACCGGCGCAGGGCGTGGCGCGCCGCTCGCTGGGCCGCCGCAGTCGCAGGGCTTGCTGCGTACCGCTGCGGCCGCTGTGCCAGGCCTCTCCACTCTCTTCCGCGGCGCAGGCGCGTCCGCGCTGGAGCCGCCGCCATCGCATGCCGCCCCCGGCGGCACGCCCCCAGGCTCGGACCCCCCGCCGCAGCCGCCCCCGCCGGGGTTGCTAGGCGCCGCCCCCTCCGCCGCCGTCGGAGCTCTCTCCAAGGCGGCAGCGATCGCAGGAGCGCCGCCTCCGAGGGCAGCCCCAATGGCAGGGGGCACGTTGGTCAACGGTCTGCCCGCGGCCAGGGTTCCGACACCGCTGGGCCTGCCGGCTCCGCTCGGGGCGCTCCCTCCCGCGCCGCCCAGGGGTTCTTCCTCCGTGCTTGGCGGCGCGCCCGCTGCCAGAGGGCCGCCCCAGGGTGCCGCCCTGGCGCCGAGCGCGGGGTTTCCTACGACCGAACTTGCGGAGGCCCTGAGGGCTATCGCCACTCAGGGCCAAGCGACGGCAGCGCTGCTGGCGAAGTCGTCGGCGCCTTCCGGGGACCCCCTCTACTCGCTTCTGAGCGGGGAGGATGGATCAGCGGCGCAGGGAGCGCGGCTGCCGGGTGCCAAGGGGGCGGCCGCCCTCGAGGTCTTCCGCCGGCAGCTGGAAGCCAATCCCAGGGCCTTCACGGCTCAGATCCGCGGCAACGCGCGGAGGGCTCTGGCGGCAACCGACGACGAGTCCGACCCCTGGGTGAATTCCATGCGGGAGTTTTTCACCCGGCACGTGGCCTTCGGGCAGGCCCGCGGCGTCGCCTATCTCGGCTTCGGGATGGCTACGGTGGCGGACTGCATGAGGGCGGGGCAGTGGGAACGCGCCGAGGCGCTCCTGATGCTCCTGCTGGCGGCCACCGAGCAGGCGACACTCGACAGGGGCCGGTGGAGCCTGGCGTGGCTGCTGACCCACTTGCCGGAGCCGCCGTGGGCGCAGGTGTCGCAGCAGCCGCCTCAAGACGCTCTCTGGCCATTCGGAAGATTGGCGGACCCCGCATGGACTGCCGCGGCCATGGCTTGCACCAAGGACGCCGCTGCCTTGGCGGAGCTCCGCCGCAGGGCGCCTGGGCCAGCACCCACGCCCGAGGAGAACGCACAGAGGCCAGGCTCGCTGGAGACAGGGGCAGGCCCGAAGGGCGGGGGCAGGGGCAGGCCCCTCAGGGGCAGGGACGAGACCGCGGCCACCGGCGTGTAGCTCAACGCGCAGGGCCTGCTCAGGGCCCCACCTGGCGCTTACGCCATGTACATAATCAGAGCGATGCGGGCCAACAGGAGAAGCTCCTGTGCACTTGGGCCCGGGAGATCGCCACTTCGCTGCTGGCGACTGGCACCGCCCTCGGTGCTTGGATCGCTTCCACCAAGCGCCCCTGCACTCGCGGCGGCCCCATGAGGGAGCACCGCTGCGCTTCCACCGGTCCTTGGCCTTGCCCGCCGCCCCATCCAGGGGCATGCGGGCCATCACCCCGCTCAGCGCGGAGGCGTGCGAGATGGAGCGGGCGCCGCGCGACCAACGTCCTGGTGAACGTCATGGTCCGCGCGTTGTCCCAGCTGGCCGCCAGAGGGCGCCGCGTCGCGCCCCTCGTCGCCTGCAGCGGGAGGCCCTTGAGCAAGGAGCAGCTGCAGATCTGCTCCCGCCTCGAGGCGCTGGCCAGGGTGCTTCGCCGCCCGCCCACTTCTTTGGGCGGCCGCGGCGAGGCCCGATTGAATTCCTTGTGCAATTACGCAGAGCAGGTGAGGGCCGCCGCCCCAGGGGCCGCTTGCACAGCACCTGCAGCCCTCGTTGGGGGCGACTTCCGGGCCAACCGTGCCGAGTTCCTCGGGGCGCAGGCCCACTTCCGAATCGACTCCTACCTCAAGCCCTTCGACGCCGCTTGCTTTCTCGAGCCGCGCTTGCTGGAGGTTCCGCACGAACCTTGCCCCTGCCCAGTGGCCTGGCTCAGGGCGCAGCGCGGCGAGCTCTTGAATTTCGTGCGCAAGCTGGGTGCGGCTGGCCGCCTGTACCTGGCAACGCCGAGTGAAGCGCCCAGGGACCAGCGCATGAACATCATGGCAGTGGCCAAGAACGACTCCGTCGACCGCGTCGTCTGGGACCGGCGGCGGTGGAATTGGATAGAGGCTCACCTCAGCGGCGGGGCGCGAGACCTGCCGGCTGGGTACCATTTCGTCGAGCACGACATCGGGGACGACGAGGTCGCCGAGGTTTTCGCCGATGATCTTCGCGATTTCTACCCTTCGGTCATCGCGTCTCCGGCGCGGGCTTGCACCAACGCGCTTGCCGTCGAGTTCAGTCCGCAAGAGCTGGCTGGCGTGCGGGCCCTTCGGCGTTTCGGCGCCGAGCCACCGCCGAAACTTGTGCCTTGCGCTCTCTCTCTCTCTCTCTCTCTCTCTCTCTTGTGATGGGCGACACCAGCGCGACGGACTGGGCGACAGAGGCCCACGCGGAGGTGCTCCAGTCGGCCGGGGCGCTGCCCTCAGACAGACGCGTCTTGCAGAACAAGGCGTATCCGAGGGGGCCGATCGCGCAGGCCCTCTTGGTGGACGACCACGTCGCCCTCGCCAGCGTGCTTCGGCACCCGCGGCGCCCGGTGACCTTGGAGAGCCCCCGGCAGCGCCTCGCAGGTCACCGGCACTTCGAGACCCTGGAGCCCCAGCAGGCGCCTTCCCAAGGCGCCGCAGGGGCGGCCGCGGCGACCCCGCCGGCAGTTTCGGCGGCCCCCCCTCCTGCGGCCGGCACTGGGCCGCAGCTAGGTGGCCGGAGCTCGGGGAACAAATCCTGCCCCCCTCCGCACAAGGCACGTGAACATGTCACGGAGTCGGTGCGTGCTGCGGAGGACCAGGACCCGCGCGCGTCGTTCCTCGAGATTTTCGACGCCGCTGGCGTCGCCTACCAGAGCGCCGGCCTCGCGCGCCACCCCGCCAAGGCCCGTCGCGGCGACCGCCAGGGCACCGTGCTGGGCGCCGAGGTGCTAGGCGAGGAGGGACAGGTCGGGTCCGAACGCCTTCGCCGCATGCGCCTGGCAGAGATCAGCGTGCAGCTGGCCGCGCAGCGGCGCGTCACAGGCGCCCTGCTTCGCGCGGTGGTCAGCGGATGGGTGTTCATCCTCCTCTTCCGCAGGCCCCTGTTGTGCCTGCTCTGGCACGTCTTCCGATGCCTTCCAGACCCTAGTCAGGACTCCGTGGTCTTCGAGCTACCCGCTGGCGCCCGCCAGGAGCTGGCGATGCTGGCCGCGCTATGCCCGGCAATGACCTCAAGCATCAGGGCTCACCCGAGCGAGGTGCTGCTGGCAACCGACGCCTCAGAGAGCGCCCTGGGCGCCGTCGTCGCCCCCATCAGCCGCGAGCTTCACCGCGAGTTGTGGAGGCTGCGGGACAGGCGCGGCTGGCCGACGCACCTGGTGGGGCAGCACGGCGAGTGGCTGCTCGCCCGAGACCTCGACCGAGATCGCGCCGACTTCGAGGAGACACTCCGCGCCGAGCAGCGGCGATCGCAGGCCAGGGGTCCGCAGCGAGCACTGGTTGAGCATTTTGATGTCCTGGAGCTCTGCCTCGGCCAGCGCGGGCCCTTCCTGTCCGCCTGTGCCCGGCGCGGGCTGCGAGCGGGGCCGCTCATCGATGTCACGGTCTCCGCCGTTTGGGACCTCAAGTCGGACAGGCTGTTGGAATGGCTCATGTGGCTCGTCGTCAACGGCCGCGTGTTCTACATCCACATCGGCCTTCCGCGGGCGCCCTTTGGCGCGGCTCGGAGACCCAAGCTCCGGTCACGAGCGTCCCCCCTTGGCTTCGACCCTTTGGGGCCAGCCACTCGAGAGGGGGGCCAACTGCTCATGGCCGCCATTGCAGTGCCCCTGGCCGTCCGCCGCGCTCCTTGGGCAGCCGGCAGCTGGACGCATCCGCGGCGCGCATCCTCATAGCAAGCGCCGCAGGTCATGTCGTTCATGGGCCATCCGCGGGTGAAATCCTTGAGGTGTTCCACATGTGCCTTCGGTTGCTCCTATCGCAAGGACATGCGCATGGGCCTCGTGAGCGCCGACTTCCTTCTGCCGTTGGCTGTGCCATGCCGGGGCTTCCGCAGGCACCTCCGGCTCAGTGCCTCGGCAGCCGCCCAGGCGGCGGAGTGCCCTCAGGCGCTTTGCGTCGAGTGGTCTGCCCTCGTCGCTAGCTTCGTGCACGAGGCGCGCGATAGATTGCAGGAGGCGCGGGAGGAGGGCGCCTTCGCGTCTTCCGAATGCTCGCCAGACCACGGCGGCGTCTCGGAGTCTTTGCTGATTAACGGGATTGCAATTGGAGCCACATGGGCCCTTGAGAGCTGCACTCCTGACGTGGACCAACAGCACATCAACGTGCGAGAAGTGCGCGCCTACACCCAGTGCCTTGCGCGACAATCGGCAGCTCGTTCAGGCGCTAGGCAGGTGTACTTGCTGGACTCGCTGGTGGCTCTCGGACCGCTGGCCAAGGGCCGCTCGCCCAGCAGGCCGATCAACGAGGAGCTGCGCCAGGCCGTGCCGGCCATCGTTGGGTACGACCACTACCCGGGCGGTCACTGCGTCCCCGCGCGCCTCAACGCCGCCGACGACCCGACCCGCAAGCGGGATGTGCGTCGGGCGGGTCTTTGCGGCGAGTGGCTTGCACTGGAGAGCGAGTCGGATCTCGCTTTCTTCGACCTCGTCGCCGCTCTGCCGTTGCAGCGTCGAGCAGTGGCTGACTGGGCGCGCCTCTTCCTGCTGGCGAGTCGGCGGCAGCCCCGGAGGCCCTGGCCATGGGCAGGGCGGCTGTTCGACAGCGCGCTCGGCTTCCCCGGCGAGGGCCCGCGCGCACAGTCGCTACCGCTGCAGAGTCGCCCAGCAGTTGACTTGGTCTGTACCCGCGCTCTGTCGGCACGGACGGTCGGGCGTCGAGCGGGGCTCATTCAGCGGTTGGGAGCCTGGCTGCAGGCAGAGTGCGCCATGTCTGTCGCGCAGCTGGCCTCCTTCAGCGGTCGCGAGGCCGCGCAAGTGCTGGCCAGGTATGGGCAGCACCTGTACAACGTCGGGCGCCCCATTGGCGACTTCACCGAGACAGTGAACGCAGTTGTGGACTTCGACCGGTCTCTCCGGCGCCAGCTGCAGGCGGCGTGGGACGTGGCGGACGCTTGGCGAGCTCTCATGCCAATCAGCAATCACTCCCCAACGCCACCTGTCGTGCTGTTAGCAATGGTTTCACTTTCTCTCCTGTGGGGCTGGGTCGATATGGGAGTCCTACTATACCTCAGCTTTGTTGCCATGCTCCGGCCAGGCGAGCTTTTGGCATTGACTGCAATCGACGTGCTGCTCCCGAGCGCATTGCTCTCGGACAGGCCGCGGGCTTATGTCAGAATCAACTTGCCGAAGACCCGGCGCCTGGCAGCTCGTCGGCAGCACGTTCGCTTCGATGAGCCCGTGCTGATCCAGCTGCTCGAAGCATGGCTTCCGCACATCCCCAGAGGGCAGCGGCTGTGGGCCGGCACTGCCCACCAGTACCGCCAGGCCGACAATGGTTTAGTGTCTCATTTGGGCATACCCGCCTGCAGCGGCGGTATCGCGCCAGCCAGCCACCGGGCTGGCGGCGCTACATTTTTCTTCGAGTCGACCGACAGCCTGGCGCAGACACAATGGCGTGGCAGATGGACATCCGCCAGGATTTTGGACATCTGCATCCAGGAGGTTGCTGCCGCGAGCCTCCTGCCCGAGCTTTCCAACACGGCTCGCGAGCGCATTCGCGAATTAGCTGCAGCATGTCCCGAACTACTCGATCTGAGCGTGAGGGCACTCAGCTGCGCGAGCCGACGCTGACCAGCGGCGTCGGCGCGCCGCCACCGCAGGGTAGTCGGCATGACCTTCGCAGCATGCCTCTGACACCCACCGGCCACCCCAGCGCCGCCTAGATTGGTTGGTATGGCCCGGCCGCTGGCCGCCCAACACGGGCGGACAGCATCAGGCAACGCTGACCACTGTGCAGGGCACGCTGTGTGGCACAAAAGGCCGGGCCGCCTCCCGGGTGTAAGATTCATTCACAGGAGGGGGGTGGGATACACAGCAGCGAAGGCACAGCGCTGACAGCAGCGCTTTGCACAATGCGTGTGCCCATAGTTGCTTCGGCTCCCCTCCCGCTCACCCGGTATGGCCCGGCCGCTGCCCGCCCAACACGGGCGGACAGCATCAGGCAACGCTGACCACTGTGCAGGGCACGCTGTGTGGCACAAAAGGCCAGGCCGCCTCCCGGGTGTAAGATTCATTCACAGGAGGGGGGTGGGACACACAGCAGCGAAGGCACAGCGCTGATCAGGGACTCGGAGGAGCATGCAGTGGGACAGCGGGCTGGGGAAGCCGTCGTACCCTAAGAGGGGGAGGATGGGGAAGGAATCGGACGAGAAGGGGGAGGGGAAGGGGTCAAGCTAGGTGCGTTCGCGTCCTATCTGACGTCCTACCCCTCCCTCCCATGGCGTAGATTTCCTCTTTATTCGCGCAGTCGGATGTTGCATGGCTTAGCATGATGTTGAAGATCAACGCGTCTTTGGGGCCACTGCGGCCCCCAAAATCAACGAATCGACACCGAAGGTGTAACCACTTCCGATGGTTTTTCGGGGGACCATTTCCTAGATTTTGGGGCCTGTTTGGAAGGACCGAAAACCATGCCGTGGAATGCCACGGGAAATGCTGACGCCAGCGCTGCAGCGGGAGCACGATTCGCAACGACCGGAAGCGCAGAAATGAGGCCAGCGCTGCAGCCGGAGCACGTTTCGGAACGAGCGGAACCCGAAAATGATGCCAGCGCCTCAGCGGGAGCTGCATTTTAATGCCCAAACGAAAACCCAGTTCCCCGGAATCCGGTGTGTAAAAAACAGTACGCGGAGGGGGGCCGGATATCTTCCGGGCGTTATCAGGGTGGAGAGAGGAGAGTATTCATATTGTGTAACTGTGAAGGAAGGAACAGGCGGACGGTGATGAGGAGGGCGAGCAGAACGGCCAGAGGCCTCTTGGATGCCTCTCGGATTCTCTTCGGATGTCTCTTGCCAGTTTTTGTGGCTCCTCCTCGAGCGTTTTGGCGTTTCTTCGCGGTCCTGGGGGCCTTTTAACGCGTCTCGGTCTCGGGCGCGTCGGGGGATCCATTGGGGGCCTCTTTGGGGTCTCTTGGGGAGCCTCTTAGGCACCGCTTGGGGGCCTCTTGGCGCCTCCTTGCAGCCTCTTGAGGCCCTCTTGGGCGCACCCTGGCGAGCCTCGGGAACCCATTTTGAAGCAGATCATCAGGGAAGAGGGGGTACCATATTCGCCCCCCCCCCCCCCCCCCCTCCGCCCCCGCCCCTAGGATGCTCCAAAATAGGGCAGGCAGCCACGTAAAATAAGAGTGTTTGCGTTTTCGCCGAGGCTATCTTGGACGCTCCAGCTGGTCGCTGGGCGCCCTGATCAGGTCCAGGGGTAGGGGTAGGGAGAGGGGTCCCCCCACCGAAGGGGAAGGGGAAGAAGGGGGTCGGAAGAAGAAACAGAAGAGCATACTAATGCCGCTACAAGCAACAATCTAACTTTCGTATCAAGAAGGATAATAAAGAATGAAACTACTACGAGTACGATTAATCACATCAGTATTAGTAATGCGAAGACGATTAATACGAATACTACTACGAGTAATACGCGTCATATTATTAATGCTAATAGTGATAATACGAAACACACTTTATCGTTTAATGTTACTGACAATGAGAAAAAGACGAATGAACAGAAGCGCGCTATGCCACTCACACCCTAAAGGGCTGGGGGGATTTGGGTCCTCCTCCTCCTCCTCCTCGTCCTCCTCGTTGCCAGAGGACTCTTTCCAGCGGGGTCGCTGGTGATTGCCCGACGTGGCAATGCGAAGATCCAGCTGCTTGATGCTTCACGCTGGTAGCTCTGAGCTGCCCTGGGGACGCACTGCATTGGGTCGTGCTCGCCCTGTTCCGTTCCGTTCGCCCTGCCTCGCCTTCCCGATCCGTATTTGCGGACTTCAGGGCTGGGCCCCTGGGCCGCGACCCGCGACCCGGCGGATACGGGGCGTCTTTTCGGTGATGCCCCGCGCGGAACCGTACCCGTGCGACCGCGTATCCGCGGGATCGCGCCCCAGAATTTGAACCGCGAGGGCGCGGCTGCGGATGTGTTCGCCGCTCGTGGGCGGAGGAGCGGGAGCTGAAGAAGTTCGTCACGAAGCAGCCCAAGAAGGCCCACCCGCCCCCGCCCCGCTCCGCTCCTCGCCCCCCAGGGGGGGCTCTCCGCTGCCCCGGCGCGCCCGCCTCGCGCGCGCCTCGCTCCGCCCAGGGCCGCGGTCAGAGGGGAGGAGCTGGGCCAGCGCTTCGGGCGGGTGGTCATGGGGGGGGTGGCTTCACTGCAGGTGAAGAGATAGGCCCTAAAGGGGGCCTCTGGGGCCCCCTTTGGGGCCCCCTTTGGGCCCCTGCTGGCGCCAAAAGGCGCCCTGGAGGCCACCTTAGGGCGTTTTTCTCCGCGGCCCACTCAGGTCGCCCCCACACTTGTCGCTCGCCCGAGCGCTCTGGGTGTGGCCAGAAATGTCCCTGGCCCAAGGTTCGGGCTGGACGAAAGGGTCGGGGTACGAGGTCTGCGGCATGCAGCTGCTTTCGCCCCCGCCGCCAGGTGCCTCCCTCGATACATCGGCGCCTTCAGCGCAGGGAGGCGCCCAGAGAAGTAGCTACGTGGGCTGATTCGCTACTCCCACTCCCTTATTACAGGCAACCCGCATATTAAGGACGAGCAAATTTCCAAGGTTATCCTTGCATCCTCCCCCTTCGGCCCATCCTTGGCTGCTCTCGCTGGCCGCGTCCCGCTCGCAGAGAGTCGACATGGCCCTCCAAGGCCCTAGCATCCTTATCGCGCGTCCTTCTGATACGGGTTGACTCTGCCCCCCTTTCGTCCGACCCGACAGGTGTCCCCAGGATGTCTAAGGAGGCAATCGCGGCCTGCAGAGCATCCCCCAGGGTTGCCCAGAGGGCCCAGGGGCTCCCAAATAGAGTCCAAAGCTGGGGACACCTTCGGCCATGGACACCTTTAGCAACCCCCGAGCGTTCGGTTCGGCCGATTCCCTTTGGGTGATGCCCTGGGAGGCCCAGGTGCTAACCTGCTTGATCGTGGCCATAAGTCGACGAAGAACCTTCACCTGAGCTTTCACAGTTCCTGATGGATTTATTGGATCCGCTCTGGACCCCTCTGGCGGTGCTTCCTGGGAGGGGAATCCAGCGCCGATCCAAGAAACTCGCGCGGACCTGCGAAAGCTTCTGTTCGTGAAGATATAATTTCTTCTTCTCAGTCGTCAGTTCCACGCGTGATTGGTCAGGCCAGTACTCGGGCGGCCCCGTTTGCACTCCGTTAATTCAGTCGGAACCCAGCGCTGACCTGGCCCTTTTGATGGTCCCTGCAGGGGGGATGAAGGGCCTCGGTGCCTGGCGCGGTGCTCAAAACGTAGCTGTACAGGCTCAAGTCTCACCTGGGTGCAGGAACTGCTGCGAGCGAGTTTTTCAGCGAAGGCATTCCGAGCCTGCCAAAGGTGAGGCACGTCTCGCTGGATGTGCTTCTGCCGTTTACCAGCTAGCTCTGTTATAAGCTCTCGGTTTTCATATGGTTTTTGGACTTCTGTTTCGCCCACAGTTTTATTGCATTTGTCGCTTGCACGGTTTGTTGCATGTTCTGTTGCGTGTTTTACCGCATGATGCGTCAGAATTTAGTGTTGTTCGTCCGAATCGAAGGGGTATAGCCTGATGTATGCATGAACGTTCGAATGCCCGCGCGGATTTCTTGGACCTGCGCTGGGCCTAGGACATCACCGCGGACCTTCGAAGGTTTCATGCTCATACAGTTCTCCTGCTCGTATGGAGGGATGAGGAAGGATGAAGGGGGCGGCAGGGATGAAAGAGGGGGGGAGGGGGGGCTGCGGGAGGAGGGTGCAGAGGAGGGGGAGGGAGGGTGGGGCTCTTCTGCATTCGACGGCCCGAATCGGTGGATTCTGCGCAGTTTGGATTGTCTTTTGCACGTGATGGAGCTGCCTGGCTGTTCCTGGGCGTCTTGGGAAGTACGCGCGCTGTCGTGAGCCTCCTTGAGGCTCCGCTCAGCAATACAGTGGCTATCTGGGGCCAAGCAATGACCAGCAGTTGGCCTGGCGACGCGCCCAACCATGTGAGGCTGAGTGTACCGCACGGCGCCGCCTTCTCGCTTTATGTGTGAAGGGGTGCGCCCTCTGCCGTCGGCCCCCATGGCTGCTGTTTTTCGGTGAGTAATCGTCTGTCGTTAAAAGTAGGTATTTTTGGACATCCAGATCCCAAACTATTTCAAGCTCCTTCGCACTTCAATCATCTACATGTTTTTGTTGTTTTTGTTTTTGATTTTGGCGGGCTCGAACCCAACCTACTTAATACGCCGTCCTACTTCATGCTTCCACCTACTTTTTCCGACTGGCGGGTGGTGCTTGATCATCTCGGAGCCCTTGTGGGGTGGGTGTGGAAGCAAGGGCTGGCTTGTGCAGTGTCGGGGTCTGGGTGTAAAATCTGGCTGCAAAGGTGCAAGACGGTGGATTTGCATAGAATATTTGAGGTGCGCGCTGAACCCTTGTTGTGTGTTCGGTCAGCCCTGCGGGTGTTTGCGTCTACTTTGACAGCGTTTTGGGGACGCTACCGGTTATATAGATGAGATGGTGTTTCTTGGGTGTTCTTGTGGGGAGGTGGCGGCAGAGGGGAAGGAGGACGTGAAGGAGGAGGAATGATGATGAGGAGGAGATTCCCTTGAGGCTCTTCCTGGTGAGCCGTCTTGGTAAGCCATCTTAGGGCCTCTTGGGTTCCTCTTGGGAGCCACTTTCGGGCCGCCTGGGGGCCTCTGTTGAACTGTCGGGGGGCCCTCTTGGGCTGTGTTTGGGCTATCTAGTCCGTCTGGGGCTCTTGTTGTTAGCCGTTTTGAGGGTCTTGAGGGGCCCTCTTGAGGCTTTCTTGGGGCCCTCTTGGGGGCCGAGGCCCTCTTTGGGACCCTCTTTTGGGCAGCGGGGGAGTGGATTTGAGGGCCTCTCCGACCATCTTGGGGCCTTGTGTTTTCGGGCTGTCTTGGGAGCCTCCTGGGCCGTCTTGAAGCCATCTTGCAGGAATCTTGGGATGATCAGGCCTTGGGAAGCTTGAAAAGGGGATACAAGCGCTAAAGAACATCCATTCAGTTTGGTCTCCAGAGGCCCTCTGGGAGATCCTCTTGGGGTTATCTTGGAGCGTCTTGGGGGCCCCTTTGACAGTCTTGAGGCCATCTTTGGGCGTCTTGGGGCTTTCTTGGGCTGTCTTGGTCTTTCGAGGCACTCTTCGGAGCTTCCTGGGGCCACATTCGAGGCCTCATGGGCCCTGCTGGCCGGCGCGGTGCCATCCCTCTGGGAATCTTACGACGACCTAGAGCCGCCAGGAATTTGAGGACCCTCCCCCACAGGTGGTTGCTTTTTGCGCCGCAGCTCCCAAGGAGACAGATCGGGGAGGGACAAGCGACAGCATAAAAGACATTGCAGTGACAACAGGACAGCAGTGCGGCAAACACCCTGACAGCCTGACGCCCCAAGGGGGCTGACGGATATTGCTCGCCGCGGGGCAGTGCGAATCCGGGGTCTGCGGATCAAGCGCGCGGAGGCGCGCTGAATACATTGCGGGGCACGATCCGCGTGGTGGGGGTGCCGCATTGGGCGGAGCCCGCCACGCGAACGTTTCCACTGAGGCCGTAGGTGGAACTCCCTGTGGGGCGCTATCCGTGTTAGGGGTGCTCGCATGTGAGATACGAGCGGCGGGACGCCATCCGAATTCTAGACGCCATCCGATTCTCCGCTTCTTGCCTTTCTCTTCCCTCGCGCTAATTTAGGCCGTTGCTAGCTTGCACCGCCCTTGACGCCGCCCGACCTTTCCTCGCCGCGGTCGCGATCAACAAACAAAAAAAACACCAGCCCATCCAGAAACGATGCCCAGAGGAGTTGCCTCGATCAGGGAAGTGGGCAGCACACAGAGGAAGGGTCCCCCAGTGGAGGCCTCTTGGAGCGTCTTGGGTGCCTCCTGGCGGTCCGGGGGGGCCTGTTTGAGCTTCTTGGGTGCTTCGGGGAGCCTCTTGGGGTCTCTTGGGGGTCTCTTGGGAGCCTCTTGGAGGCCTCTTGGGCGCCTCTTGGGGCCTCCTGGGCGCCTCTTGGGGCCATCTTGAGAGTCTTGGGAGCGCTCTTGGGGCCATCTTGTGGGAGATCGATCAAACAAGATGGGAGGTCCACTTACGGCCCTCCATCTTGGGGCGCTCTGGGAGCGCTCTTGGGCGCTCTTGGGGCCGTCTTGGGGCTCTCCTGGGCCTGTCTCTTCAGATCTCGGAAGGCCATCGGAAGTAAAAAGGCGAGAAGGCACAATTCATCGTTTTTCTTCAGGTATTTGAAGGGTTCTGGCCTCTTGGCGGCCTCCTGGGGAGGCTCCGTGGCCACTCGGAGCTGTCTTAGAGCGGTCTTTGGGACTCTTGGGAGCCATCTGGAGCTATCTTGGATAATCTTGGAGGTCATCTTGGGCTGTCCGAGGCCCTCCTAGCGCCATCTTGGACCATCTTGGACACTCCAACGACCCGCGACCCCTCCCCTCCAGGTCCAGGGTAGGGGGTAGGGGGAGGGGTCAAGGCACCCCCTAGATAGCAAGCCGTCTAGCTCACTCCCACCCGTCCTCCCAACACATAAGTAACACCCGAGCCGCGGTCGTCTTTGGATGGACAGCTACTGGGAACCAAAACCTACCCCATGTGCGCCACGTGCTCCGCGTGCGCCAGGTGTACCGCATACTCCAGCCGCGCCAGGTGCACCCTGTTCGGGGCACGTGTTGAGTATTTCAGGTGCGCCTGCGCACGTAGCAGCACACATCGGGAAACATGTCGGCCCCCACCATCCCTGTCGTAAACCAATGCCCATCACTGTGTCTGGTTGGCCTGCGCACAGCAGGCCATACGCTGCCACCCCCGCCGTCCCTGCCTGTCAAAAATCACTTGACAGTGATCGCGGGGTTGCCTCGCATGATCCAGATTTAGCCGCGAGGTGCATTTTGTATCGTTATTTGTTCGGGATGGTAGCCCTGCGCACAGCATGCAATATGCTGGCATCCCCGCCGTCCCTGTCAAAAACACTACAAAGTGCTCGCGGGCCTCACGAACATGACTCAAGACTTTGCCCCAAAGTGTATTTTGTAATG